GTAGGTAGGTAGGTAGGTATGCACATACACACCCACACATACGTCTGCCGGGGGCGCCAAGGATTCTCGCACGTGCGAGTTATGCAACGCTTGATCCCGCAACAGCGAGATCTGAAGGGATTCACACCCAGAGCAAAAGGTCGATTCCCGCCCTGGTGGTGATTTTGATTGATATTTCGACTCCGGAGTTATTTGCTATAGGGGCTGGTAGCCAGCCGTCTGAGCTGTCCATTTTTAAAGTGATAGAGAGGCTTTCAGAAACTTTCAGAGCAGGGAAAGCAGCCGTCAACCAAAAGGGCTGCACCGTGATTATGCCCTAGTACAACGAATCGTGGCTTTTGGGATCGGTGGGAGCTGCAATTTCGGCCGCGCCTTTCTGAACCTTCGTGTCTCAAGTCACGAAGCGCCCCACGCAGAAGCTTGTGGCGATCCAGGCACGCAGTTATTTCGTCGCTGCAGGGGATTGGGGCATGGCGTTCCAGAACCATCGTTGTCACTAAGGCTCTTTTTGGGGCTTCGGGCGTCGTCAGGTTTTGGACAGGTTAATGGATTGGGGTGGCAAGCAACATGTAATCATATGCTGTTAAATATTGTTAAATTGTAGCGATCGGAATGCACACCGACATCGTTACGCTCTACAAACGTTCACACCTTTGCTGGCAGCGACATCTCGATGATTCACTTGACGTGTAGACTTCTGCGGCCGAAGCGACTCCCAAAGAGATTGTTGCTGCATTTGTCAAGCCTTGTTTTCATCTTGTGTTTGTTGCCGCGTGGTAGCCTGCACTGGGTTCGTGGCTCTTGAACACAGCCTGCACACACTTTTTTGCAGGATGGATCCATTTGCGGCCCCCCACCGCCTGCCGCCCCCACCGGCCTACTTCCATGAGACAGCCGTCTGGGGCCTAGGTTGTGCAGGGATGAAAGCACCCAAAATATACCAGACTATAGACTATAGAGGAAAATAGTGCTATAATATACGATGTTATGCTTCATGACACGGTATAGTTATCAGCTTCAGGGTTTTGTGTACAATAGAAGTTAGAGGCTCTTGCTTCGATGTCTTTTTGCATTCCAGGCAAAGCTCAGGTACTTTGTTCCCACTCTTATCCTGAGTGCAATTTGGAGATGAGAGTTGAGGGGTTCAGGGGTTNNTCAGGGGTTGGGGTTCAGGGCTTGGGCTGCAACGCAAGGCTTTTATCCATTGTGCTACTGCAATCTGCAGCCTCCTGAAATGTCTGGCAAGTGGGCCCACATAAAGCTAAGTTAAGACTACATGTATGTATACATGGGTGTAACGATCAAATCCTTGCTTGTTTGCTAGTTCAGCTGCTGGAACGGGGCCCGGAAACCCATTCCTGACTTTACACGTGCAGAGGCCAAGGAACTCCTTGATCGCGGGTTGCCCCTGTCAGATGCCCGCGGCCGAGGATCCTTTACACATGTACCTGTAAAGGGGGCCTCTAGGGGTTCTTTCAGGGTACTTCAAGGGTACCAAGAGGGTTTAGGGCTTAAAGGGTGTTGTCATCCACAGCTTTTCCTGTGT